CGGGCGCGTCCACCCCATTCCTCCTGCGTTTCTTGTTTTCTCATCAGGTCTAACGAGGTCGGTCTTCGTGTGTCTGTCCTCAACGACTAACTCAAGATGGCCGAGCTGCGCCATTTAAGACCCGACGTGGCGGTCGACACTGCCCGGTCCTTCGCTGTCACTCAGGCTCTGTCACTCAGGCTCTGTCACTCACTCAGACTGAGCACGAAGAGAAGCCACTCGGTTCTCGTGTCTGTGCCGAAATGGCTGCCTGTGCCTCTGGGCCCCGTCCATGCCCCCAGGCGTCCCTGCTACACGCGCTTCCCTCCAGCCAGCCCGGCCCAGACTCCCGGTTGCGCACACGGCACAGACTCGCCCGCGGTCAACGCACAGGATGTGGACCTCGCGTGCGGACCCGGGGCAGGGGAGACACAGGGGCGTCGCCGACGGGGACCTCGTCGTGTCTGAGACCCAGGCCCGCCCGCCGCTTCGTGTGGCCGGGGCCCCAGACGTGGCTCACACAGAACTCGGCTCTCGTTGGTGTCCCTGGGACTTCCCACGCTGGAGTGGTCGTCCAGGCCTCCGCGGAGGAGGAAGCCCCCTGGGGCTCGGGGGTGTGCCCCAGCTGGACAGAGCGGGGATCGCCGGGCCGAGCATTTTGATCTGGCTCGTCCGTGGATCTGCCTGTTTTCCAGGAGACTCGCTCAGACCCTCATCCTGGGCCCGCCAGGCCCGCCCCTGGGGGATTCATCCACCTCTAAGGACAACTCGACGGCCCTCTCGGCTGACCCCACACTGTGTGCTGGCTGCAGACCCCAGAGCCCACCAAGGTCCTTAGACCCTGGAAACATTTGGGGTCTCTCAGAACAACTGGGGGCAGAGACTGGGGTGTCCCTCGTGCCACAGTGAGAAGCCCACCCTCTCTGCACGGCGCCCCCTCAGAGCCGGCCCCCGGTAGTGCTGGCGCTCAGGGCGGGCGTGTGCTGGCCTGCCTGGGGTGACGTCCGCTGCCACCGTCTGCTGCTGTCGGTGGCCGCGGAGGCATCAGTGGGCCCTGGCAGTCCCTGCGGCCGCCCTCCGTGCTATGGATCCGTGGACATCGCTGAAGGAAGGAATCGCCTGGTCAGGTGAGCAACCAGCAACCGTCCACCCCGGGGGACCCCGCCTCCTCCAGGGCTCACATGCCCCCCACGCCGGTTCTCGGTTCTCGGTTCTCGTGGTTTCCTTTGGAGGCCCGGCCGCCCCGGGCACTTCCAAGCAGACGTGATGTGGGAGAGGAAGC